ATTTCAGAGTTTGGTTTGCTTTAATGTTACTGTAAAAATAACCAATTTGATGTTTTATAACACTTGCTTAAATGTCATTGTCTTAATGAGTTCTACTTTTAATATTTAAAATCTATAGAAATTCATGGTTCTAAATCCGACTGAGATTTAGTAAAGAGGCACTTATTTGAATTTCAGGTAAAATATTTTTATTATTATTACCTATGGTTATAGAATTTGCAATGTTCTGTCTTCCAGGCTGCTTTTATCTATATATATAAAAAGCCAGTGACTGGAATGATGCCCACTGAGGCCAGCGAACTGGCCAAATCAGGAGGTGGGGCCAGCGGGCCAACCTCCTGCAGCCCCTCCCCTGGCTGGCTCTGACCCCAATGGGCCCCCACTACCCCATGGGCCTGCAGCCCCTCCCCCTGGCTGGCCCCACCCCTGATCGCCCTCCCAACCAATCAGGGGGCGGGCCCTCCTGCCAATTGCCCTCAGCCCCTTCCCCCAGCTGGCTGGCACTGATCAGGCCCCACTTAAGGTGGGCTGTTCAGTCAATCTCCCACCATCTCCTCATCCTGACATGCCCAGTCCTGATCTGCACCATTTGGGGCTGTGCTGGCCAGACCCCACCCAGGCAGGAATTTGTGTACTGGGCCTCTAGTTATATAATTGTTTTCTTACTATTATAAATTACAGACATATGAAAGAACTAATCTGCATATCTGATCAACATGAGCTAAACTTATTTCAATGAGGAGATAAGATTTCATTCAAAAGTGAAAAAAGTTAGTCTCTGCATCTTTTGCACCTGTTGCAAACAACTGTGTAATTTCTTAGTATCAATAGATATTTTAAAATACTAAAAATAGTACAAAGATTAACATTGTTTACATGAGCCACACATATTCAATAGAGATAGTCTGTTCAAAGCATTTTACTGCCTCCTCATAGCATACCGCCAGCACAGGGAGTCACAGAGTAAAAAAAAAAAAAAAAAAAAATCTATCCCCAAGGATGCTGAAATTACCAAAAAAATCATGTTAAGTCATGTTTATGTATGTAGGCATATATGATGTATCAATGTATTTATATATATACTTACTAGAGGCTCAGTACAAGAAATTTGTGCATTGGGTTGGGGGGGGGGGTCCTTCAGCCTAGCCTGCCCCCTCTCACAGTCCAGGAGACCATTCCTGCCACCCCCATCACCTCGCTGCTGCTGCCACTGCTGGCTGCCAAAGCTGCCAAGGTGTTTTCATCAACACGAACTCAAGTACTTCACCATGAAAAAAATTACAACTTTCTTTAGGCATTTTCAAGATGTCTCTTTCACAGGATATGACATTTCTTTCTTTCTTTTTTTTTAATCCTCATCTGAGGATATTTTGTCCATTGATTTTTAGAGAGCGTGGAAGAGCGATGAAAAGACAGAGAGAAACATAAAAGTGAGAGGGACACTTCGATTGGTTGCCTCCTGCTTGAGCCCTGACCTGGGCCCCAGCCGGGGAGAAGCCTGTAATCCAGGTACATGCCCTTGATCAGAATCGAACCCGGACCCTGTGGTCCGCAGGCTGAGGCTCTATCCACTGAGCCAAACTGGCTAGGGCAGGATATGAAGTTTCTTAGCCCCTTAAGCAGTGGACTTTCATTTTTTTTTCCTCTAGGAGTGAGGTGGAAAAACCCTAGATCACCTTCTTGTATTCTTATTACCCAAGTTACCAAGAAGACTGCGAGTGGTGGACAGGGATCTTACTTAGCCAACGAGCCGTCAGAAAAGGTGTTTTCTCTGCAGCTCATGTCCAGAGGCAGGACTGCTGGTGCACTGCCCTGTGTCCGCTTCAGGCCTGCTCCAGCCATGCCATGGCAGCTTGGGTAGGCCCCCCCTGCGTGTGTGTCCACTCTGGGCCTCGCCACCCGTGGCTTTCCTCACCACATCCACCCATCTGCACGCGCAGCCTCCTCCTGAGCCAGTTGTGGCTGTTACGATGTCCCGGCTAATTTGCATACTGCCTCTTTCTATCTATCTATCTCTCTATCTATCTATCTATCTATCTAGATATAGATATATTGTAGATATGTTCATAGCTGACACAATAAAACCGTCAAGAAATTTGAAAATGTAAATTGTTAAAAGGCTTTCTCTCTCATGATCAGCATGATGACTTTTCTAAGAATTTAGAATACAAATATTCTTCAAAGAGTTCTACACTACAACACAACAAAAACAAATTAAGCAGCTTCTCGTTGTGCAACCTTGAGCAAGTTACTTAATCTCCCCCCCCCTTTTTTTTTTCATTTGAAACAGGGGTAACAATACCTAATTCATGTGGAATTTTTGCAGACATTTAAAAAGCTACTATATTTAAAGTGCTAAGGACAGTGTCTGACACATGAAGGCATTTTACAAATCTTAGCTATTATGGTTGTTATTCTCACTACTATTTTATCGGGTGTCATTGATATGACAAAATCACCAGATCTTAAATATAAGAGTGTATCTCTTTTAAATGATCCAAACATATACTACAATTTGGGTAAATTCACCTACCACTTTGTATTTCTGACATCAACCTCCTATTTTAGAATGCTTTAAGCAGAGATTACAAAAAAAAAAAAAAAGTAATATAAAGATACACTTTCCAGTTGCAAAGAATGATGTTAGCAGCTTAAGATCACACAGAGCCAATACAAGGATTTAAGGCAGGTTAAAAATGTCCAGTAAGCAGAAAGAATGCATCACCTGCAGTTTTGTTTTCAAATACACCTGCTCCTAGTGCCTTTACTTCCTAGGGCCAGAATACAACAGGCTACTCGATGTCTTTTGCAGAACTCCTTACTTGATGGAACATACATTCTCCACTGGAATCAGAATGACTTTGGGGAATCAGAGGGCCAATGAAACGGCTTTCGTCAGGAAGACTATAAAACTTTTATACTAACAAATTACAAAGGAGGGTACAATTATGAACCAAACTGTTAAACTCATCATTCTGTCTGGATATGGGCATTGAGTGGACAGAATAACCGAACATACTACAAGGTAAACTGAAGCTGGAATATCAGCAAGCATTTCCCAGGGGCATTGCTCTTTCTAAATACCCCGTTTCTTCCGCTCTCTGGGGGCAGTGCTTCAGCCAAAGGTGCTTTGGAGAATGTAATCCACTTCCCCTCTGCAGTTGCCACTTCCACCAGCTGCTTCTCTCATTACCTTACTGTTCAGGCAGCAAAGGGCCGGCCCCAGGCTCTTCTAATGATAGCAAGCACCTCATTAAAAAACCTGCCAAATTTACTTTTCCATGGAACATCACTTTTGCAGCTTTTCGCGAGGCCACGAGAAAGAAAGCATCATGTATAAAATAGGACTCCCGGAAATCTTGAAGATATTAAGAATGATTCCTACATGATGGGTGGGTGTGCCGCAGTCCATAGAATGGCAGTATCTTCCAGTTCCCCTAAAGGAAGCCCATCAGTGTGTCTCTGTGCCTGTTTGCCCACAGGAGAAGGCGAGCGGACCCCACAAAGTTAGGACGTTTTCAGAAAGGCCCCCAAATTAAGAGGACTTTAGGCTCTGAGGTGAATACTTTCCCATTCCTGGTTTTGCCTGTGTACAAGGGTCACCTTGCTTTAGGCTATGACACCCCAGCAGAGAGTAAATGGGGTGTAATTCATCAAGAGTTTGGAATGTGTGAACTTTGGAGCATTTCTTAACCTCTCTGAACCTCATGATTTGTTTGTTTGTTTATTTATTTATTTATTTTTGGTGTGTGTGTTCTGTAAAGGGGAGATAGTAATAATACAGTACCTCATAAAATGTTAGATTTTTGTAAAGCACTTAAAAGAGTAGCACAGTAAGCACTGTTTTAAAGATGCGAATTCTCTCTCTAACAGTAAACTTTTCCGCAACAAAGTACATCAAGAGGCAAACACTAAGCGACGATTGTAAAGTCCTTTGGAGACAACACTTATCTGGACATTGCAGAGCAAAGAGCTTTAGAGGAGATCGGGCGCGTTCAGGGTGGTATGGCCTTGGACAGCAAAGAGCTTTAGAAGGGCTAACTGGAGGAGGAGATGTTTAGAAGCCAGAGACTTCCCTCTACTTTCTGAGGAAATCCCTGCTGACTTTTACCCATGCCTCCAAGTTGACAGTTGTCACATCACTAGACCCAAGGAGAAGCGCTTTCCAAGGTAGCAGCAGGCAATCCTTACCTGGGCAATCCTTTATTAGGAAACCGAAACTCACCTTTTATATGACTTCGCCCCCAACTCACCCCACCCCGTGGAGACTCCCCCACCCCTCCCTGGGCTCCTAGCTAAACTCGATCTTCGTTACAACCCCCTTCTCAAGGGGCAGAGAGCTAGGAAGAAGTCTTTGCTATAAGTTTAAAACCCTGAGTAACTCCATCTCAAAGCATGGCAGGTGCCTGGACTTCGCGCCCTGCCCTTGGCCGAGACCGCAGTGGGGAGGGAGCCTCCGTGAGGCCCACGCGGGACATCGGAGGCACCCGCCGGGACCGCGCGGGCGCAGAGAGGATGCCTGGCCACTCTCCGCGGGGAAATGATCCCCTCACCTTTGGCATTGGTCTTGCTCTCAGAAGAGGCAGACTCCCCAGGGCTCTCGTTCAGGGATATTATCCTATAAAGTCTCTTTCCGCAACCTCCGCCCCTCTCCCCTCCCAGAGTAACAGTACTCGGCCTCTACAGGGCCACCGAAGCCTGGCGGCCCCCCAAAGCAAACACGTCCATGCTCCACACTTCCTCTGCCCTCTGCACGCCTCGCGCCCCTGATGCAGACCTGGGGGCGCGCGTCCGTCCGATCTGCGCGCCAGGTCCAGCCTCCCAACACGCACTCCCGCTCCGCCTCAGCTTGAGACGGGTGGCCCCGGCAAAAGGGCTGCCAAAACAGTTGCTCCCGGGTGGGGTGGGGCGGGGAACCGCCTCCTCGCATCCATCGAGCGCGAGCCCGGCGCCCAGCCACAGGTTCCCTCGGCCACGCGCCCCGCGCCGGCTGCACTCACCTGCCGCTGGGTCCCGCTGGCGTTGCCCGCGACGGCGTCCGGCCGGTCGGCGGCCCCGGTGCCGCGCAGCACCGTGATGTGCAGCGTGAGTAGCAGCAGCCCCAGCAGCAGCAGCAGCTCGGCCGCCAGGCGCACCATCCTCTTGAGACGCGCGGCTTTAGGACCCGGCGCGGCGGGCGGCGGCGGCGGTGGCGCCGGGGGAGGAGGAGCCGGAGCTCCCGAGCCCGGCAGCGCGGCTCCAGCCTCGGCCCCCGCCGCCGGGCCCCCGCTCCCCGGGCCGGCGGGGCCAGCGCTGGGCACGGCGGGGCGCGCCGGGCCCGGGGAGCAGGAGCCGCCGCCGCCGCCGCCGCCGCCTCCGCCGCAGCCGCACCACGGCGGAGCCACGGCGGGGCCGGGGGCGTCCAAGCCGGCTGCGGAGCACACTCCGGAGCTTCCCTGCAGCGGCGGCGGGGACGGGGGGCTGCCCGGGACCCAGGCCGGGCCGGGGACTGCCCTGCGGACAGGGGGCAGCGGGGGCGGCGGCGGCGGGGCGGGCGCAGCCAAGCCCCCGAGCGCACATGGGCGCCCCAGATGTGGCCGCGGCGCCGCTGCTGGAGCTGGAGCGGCCGCCAGAGGAGCGCGGGGAGGAGGAGGAGGAGGAGAAGGAGGAGGAGGAGGAGAAGAAGGAGGAGGAGGGCTTCAGTGGCTGCGGCCCGGAGTTACCTCCACGCTGGGCTCTCCCGCCCGGAGCCACTCATCCGACAAGCCACCTCCCCTGCTGCCCGGGCTACTAGGGGGCCGCGGAGTGCTAGGGTGAACTGGCTTCAAACGGGGGCCCGGGGACACAGGGGTTGTCAGTATTTGGAAGGGACCTGGGCGCCCTTCCGGGGTCCGCGTCCAACTGCCGGGATGTGCCAAGCGGGCGCCACCTCTGCCTGAGTCGCGGTGGCCCTCGAGGGCACAGCCCTATGCGCACTGCAGCTCGGGGCTGTGGGTGGGTGGGTGGGGTGCCTGGGCGGATTTGGAAACCTTTATTGACAAAGTGGAGTTGGAGTTGTGGTGATGGAGGACCGAGGGGGCGCAAGGCCAGCCAGGTGTCTGTCTGCAACTGTGCGCCCCTCCTGAAGCTGGCGCGCCTACGAGGGGGGATGACAGAGTCGTTCCAGAAGGATCCTGACACTCGCTCCGGGCCGGTGGGCCTCCCGCCTCCTGTGCACAGCTGCTCCTGCACCCGCGTCTCTCCGCAGAGCCTGGGAAGGGCGGCGATCCGGCTTGGCTGGGCGGGCGTGGGTCCGGTCCAGCGCGCAGGTGTCGCGGCGGGGAGCTGCTTGCCCGGGCCGGGCTGGAGGCTCCCGCGCGCAGAACCGAGGTGGGCACTGCGGGTGAAGCTCAGCTCTGGCAGCCGCGGGTCCCGGGGCTCATCCCGGAGGCGCCGTGCCCGGGGACAACCTGGGGGCTGCAGACGCACCGCCGCCGTTCCCGAGCCGCCGCCTCATGACCGCTCTGCAGCCCCGGGCTCCCACGGCCCGCTCATTCCTCGCAGGGGTAGCTGGCGAGTGGAGGGGCTTGGGTCAGGCGGAGGGTGCGGGTTCCTCTCCTCCGATGATGCAGGAACAAACTGGGTCCCTCGGTGGTGGGCTCAGATAGCGGTGGTGGGCTCAGATCGCTGCAGTGGCACCGCGCGTTTCTCTCCCTCCGGGTATTGCAGTGGCTCCAGCCTCCCAGAAGCGGCTCGGAGTGGCAGGCACTCTGCACTCCCGGTGCCTTTTATACCGAACTCCCCCCGCCTCCCGCCGGGTTTCCTCCTCCCCTCAGCGCCTCGGCCCGCCCAGCCCTTTCCTTTCCCGCACGCGGAGGCTCCATCCTGGCGTCCTCGCACAAGCATTTCGCAAAGTTCCAAGCCCATCTCGCACCCAGGTCCTCCCCGTGCTCCCTTGGTGACAGATATTAAAATAAATAAACAAACCTTTCTGGCCGGTTTGACTTTCCCCCAATCCGCCCGGATTCTGCCCTCTTGCTCCCTGTGCCCCAAATGAAGGAAATGTTCTTAATTCAGCCACCTTTCAACGATTTTAACTGATTTTATGAACATTTTTATGCGCAAGACACCTCAGCCAACTCTTACCCAAATGAAGACAAGAAACATCTTCAACATTACAAAAGTTCCACGGTCCTGGGAGGTGGCATTTTTGCAGAATTTAAATAGCAGTGCTGGTTGGGTTTATGTATGTCCAGGGAAGGAAGGGCTCCTTGCCACTTTAAAGATGCCTTCATCATCTTTAAAATTCTAACCAGTTCTAGCATCTTGTTAATAAATTGGCAGCTGCTTATTAAGCACGAAATTTATTTTCCGTTTCAGTGTTTGTTTTTGGAGGGGGGATGAGGGATGTTTGGAGGGAGTGCTTGCTTTGGATTTTTAGGCGGTCAGTCCTGTGAGGCAACTTATTGCAATCTCCAGGCTCTAAAATGCCAATAATTGTCAACTGGAGCGCTGGGGGATAATTTGAAACAATAGACTGTCCGTGGTTCAGATGGAAGATCAAAGAGAGGGTCCCACAAGGATCCTCCAGCGTGTTTTTTAATTAGAATCACTTAGAGGGGGCGGGGCGGGAGAGTCAGCACATGGGTGGAATATATAAATTAAGAAGGCAAACTAGGCAGAGCTGAGGGCTGGCTCTAGCCCCTGAGTGCCAGATTGTGAAGTGGCGCGCAGGGACAAATGACTTTCCTATTGCCCGAGGCAGGCTGTTCTAAATTAGAATCCTGGCACTGCTGTGTCCTGCGTTTTCATCACACACAGTCCCCACATGTGAACCTCAACTGCCTCTCCTCTCATCTCAAGTTAACATTGTTGGATCCTAAGGAAAAATAACTTTTTTTTTTAAACCCTCTGGAAAGAAATTCTCGCAGTGAGTGTAAATTCTTATAAATTTGTAAAGGGAGAGTTGGAGATCAAAGTCTGTCAGATGTTGTAAAATTGTTAAATTGAATTTTGGGGACAGACGTCTTTGTAAAATGTTGAACAAATGCACGGGTAACTGCTCTTAAAACCCTTTCACACTGTGAGATCCAAATTCCAGGTGAGTTTATGTTCTAGTAAGCACCCATAACTAGTATCTGTAAATGTCCTTGCTCTGTGACTGAGCTGTCAAACCAGTCGGCCAGCAGGGCTCTGCTTTTGAGGAGATGGGGAGCACGGGCTTATAATTTTTGTGGGAAAAGAATGACACGTTTCAAAGCCTAAACAAATTAAGTTTCAAGTATATTTATGAAATGTTACCAATAGCTGATGAATGTCTTAAAGATCCTACCTCCTTCAGCGTTCCTACGGCACCGTCCTTATGTCTTTATTATTGATCTTACTGCCTAGTAAAAAGTCTGATCGTTTGTCTGTCTTCCTACCAGACCGGGATCATGTGGAACGTGTCAGAGCCTATCTCCCACCCACACCCCACTCTCCACCCCTCTGGTATCCAGTTTCTTCTTCCCGGGTTCGAAGCTAAAGAAACATTTTTTTTCAGCAACACTTGAGTCTAGGTGGGATGGGAAGAATTCTGGTCCTTCTTCTATGTCTGGCCATGAAACATCCTGAGTGACCATCTACACACTACTTCCTCTTATCTTTCTACCTGGCGAAGGACTCTGAGGTGTAAGGAGCCCTATTCTCTGAGCTATGATTCAAAAGAGAATGACTGGACCAGGAATGCCTTCACTTACACTTGCGTGGTGAGAAATAAAGCTTTGTTGTTCAAGGCACTGTGATTTTGGGATGTTGGCTTTGGCAGCTAGTACTGTATCACCAGTCCTGACAAGTAAGTAGCACATCTTCACACAGGGACACCTGCCTTATCATTAACATATTTCTAGACCTGAGCACAAGGCCTTCCATCTAGTAGTTGCTCAATCACTGTTTGTTTAATGAATGTAATGACTGTGGTCTAGACCCTACTTGATGAATGAATTCTCTTGAGAGTGTTCCTACTATAAGTGGCTGACCTACAAATATTAACTCTTCTGTCATTTGACTGTACTATTCCCTCATAGGTTTTGTCTTTTATTATTGACTAGAGGCCTCTTAATCTTGCAGACAAGCTTATTTGACTGGAATACGTGGAGAAAGTAAAAATAATTAACACACCATAACACCTGTAGTAAATATCATTGAAGAGAACCTTATAGTGAGGATTTCATTGTTTTTACTCCCCTCCTCCCCCAAAATCAATTGCAGAGCAGCAAAGCGTAGTGTTAGTACAATCTTTATAAAACTTTTTATAATATATATTATGCTTTTAAATATATACAAAAGTAAAGAGAATAATATAATCAATTATTACAGACCCATATCTCAACTTCAACAAAACTCAAGGCCAATCTTGTCTCATCTATATTATCATACAGTTCCTCCCTCTGAGATTATTTTGAAGCAATTCCATGACATCATATGATTTCACTTGTATCTCAAAAGGTAAAGGTGAACTTCCCCAGGTTCAATGAGAACAAACTTAAACACATAAAAATGTTTTAAAATTAAACACATGCCTACTGAATGTGAGGTTTAAAACAGTTTTGAGAAGTCAAAACTAGAGACTCTTTTTTTTGGGGGGGTGGTATAAAGTGATTAACAGGGATTATGGTGGAGGCTGTTATATGTTCATCAAAACTTGTTTTCTCTTCATCCTGGACATATTGATAAACTATATTTGCCAGTATCCTATGCATTTAGATATAGCCATGTGACTGGGTTCTGGCCACTAGAATGTGGGTGGAAGTGATGCATGTCATTTACATATCTAGCCCATAACAGTGTCCTGTGCATGATCTCTCTCTTTTCACCTTGTCTGCTGCCTGGATGTTTCTGCCCTAAGTGGCCAGTGGTCCGCAAACTGCAACTCTCGAGCCACATGTGGCTCATGAGCAGCAGTTTGCCACTCTGTTGACTAATGAGTTTGCTGCCACTGCCTCAGATCAATGATCAGCTTGGGTCCTAGGAGCAGAGCCTTACCCCAGCCCTGCCTCTGCCCAGAACACCCTGGCTGAGCTATTGCGTGATTGAGAAATAAACTTAAAAAAAAAATTTGTGTTAAGCCACCAAGGTTGTAAGTTTTGTTACAGGAGCTTACATTACTCTCACAAATATATGCTAGTACTGTTCTGGGAGGGA